ACAACAACAACAACAACAACAACAAATACAATAATAATATTTCTATAGACTCACTATTATCCACAGATTACTGCAAATCATTTTGAGTCTCAATAATAATAATAACTATTACTATTATTTCTATAGGTTCACTGTTATCCACAGGTAACTGCAAGTCGCTTTGTAGAATAATAATAATAATAATAATAATAATAATAATAATAATAATAACAATAATAATAATATTTCTATAAGTTCACTGTTATCCACAGGTTATTGCAAGTCACTTAATAATAATAATAATAATAATAATAATAATAATAATAATAATAATAATATTTCTATAGGTTCACTATTATCCACAGGTTACTGCAAGTCACTGAGTAATAATAATAATAATAATAATAATAATAATAATAATAATATTTCTATAGGTTCACTATTATCCACAGGTAACTGCAAGTCACTTTGACTAATAATAATAACAATAATAACAATAATAATATTTCTATAGGTTCACTATTATCTACAAGTTACTACAAATCACTTTGAGTCTCAATAATAATAAAAATAATAATAACTATTATTATTATTATTATTATTATTACTACTACTATTATTATTTCTATAGGTTCACTATTATCCACAGATTACTGCTCTGAGTCTCCATAACAACAACAACAACAACAATAATTGTTATTTCTATAGGTTTGCTATCACTTTGAGTCTCAATAATAATAATAATAATAATAATATCTATTATTATTATTTCTATAGGTTCGCTATTATCCACAAATTACTGCTTTGAGTCTCAATAACAAAAACAATAATTGTTATATCTATAGATTTCCTATCACTTTGAGTCCCAATAATAATAATAATTATTATTATTATGATTATTATTATTTCTGTAATAATAATATCTATTATTATTATTTCTATAGGTTCAATCACTCAATAATAATAATAATAATAATAATAGAGAGACTTGAAGGGTATGTATATCTATATATCTCCTGACCCCGGAGGTGATGATGACCGACTGGAAGCGCTCAAAGACCGGCTTGATGGCAATGGAGGCGTCCATGCAGCTGGGAAGAAGAAGGAGAAAAGCCATTGGGATGAATGGAGAACACAAACTACAAATCCCATCATGCTGCAAGAGGCAAGCAAGGGCATCATCGTCTTCACCTGAAATGCAGGATCGGGTTCAGGATGGTGGGCGTCCGGTCGTCAAAGGGCTCGATGATGATGGTGAAACCTGGAAACACACACAATGGCTTGAGTCGTGCATGCTCATACACGTGTTGCAAATAATATATTACACATACATAAATATACTATATATATATGCAAATATAATTATATTTAAAGTCAGACTATAAAAGAAATCATCTGGACTTTCTAGTGGTGCAGCGGGTTAAACCGCCTAGCTGCTGAACTTGCTGGCCGAAAGGTTGGTGGTTCGAATCCGGGGGTCGGGGTGAGCTCCCGCTGTTAGCCACAGCTTCAGTGTCGTTTTGAGGTCCACCAACCCTACATATATGTATTGCATTATGACCGGCTGAAAAGGAATTATTATTATTATATTACATTATTATTATTATTATTATAAAAATAATAGATTATTATATTGTAATCTTATTATTATATTACATTATTATTATTATTATTATTATTATATATTGTAATCTTATTATTATATTGCACTATTATTATTATAATAAAAATAATAATAGTACATTATTAAATTCTAATCTTATTATTATATTACATTATTATTATTATATATTGTAATCTTATTATATTGCATTATTATTATTATTATAAAATAATAGAACATTATTATATTGTAATCTTATTATTATATTACATTATTATTATTATAAATAACAGTAGTACATTATTATATTGTAATCTTATTATTATATTACATTATTATTATTATTATAAAAATAACAGTAGTACATTATTATATTGTAATCTTACTATTATATTACTTTATTATTATTATTATTATTATTATAAAAATAATAGTAGTACATTATTATATTGTATTCTAATTATTATATTACATTATTATTATCATATATTGTAATCTTATTATATTACATTATAATTATTATAATTATTATAAAAATAATAGTAGTACATTATTATATTGTAATCTTACTATTATATTACATTATTATTATTATTATTATTATAAAAATAATAGTCGTACATTATTATATTGTAATCTTATTATTACATTACATTATTATTATTATAAAACATGGAAAAAGTTTATTATAAATATATGTTATATTATTATAATATTCTATTATTAATTTAAAAACTACTATAAATACCATAAATTAAAAAAATACCGTATTAGTACAGTATTAATAAATAAATAAAAAATAAATATAAGAAATATAAAAATATATTATATGAAAATATATATAAAAATATATATAAATAAATATAATAAATAAATAAATATTGTATTAATACTATTAATTTATTATAATTACTACTATAAATACTGTAAATAAAAAATACCATATTAGTACAGTATTTATTTATAAATAATAAATATAATAAATATAAAATATATTATATAAAATGTATATAAAATAAAAATATTATAAATAATAAATAAATAATAAAAATAAAAAATATAAATAAAAATATAAAAATATATTATATAAAAATGTATATAAAATATATATAAAATAAAAATATAATAAATAAATAATATAAATAATAAATATAAAAATATATTACATAAAATGTATATAAAATGTATATAAAATAAAAATATAATAAATAATAAATAATAAATAAATACTGTATTATTAATTTATTATCATTACTACTACTAATAATAATAATAATAATAGATGGCATGTAGATTTGGTTGGGTTTTTTTTTGCTATTTTTGACCATCTTTTGGCAATGCGATAGGAGCCAATAATAATAATAATAATAATAATAATAATAATAATAATTTGCTTCAGATATACTCCACTCTTTGCATCTCAAAGCAAAACTTATGAACAGGACCGTGCTGTTTGCTCTCTCTGTTGCAGCTGCTTTGTGACTCGGCCGCGGCCTGAGCCTCTGGCCACTGACCACTGACCGCAGGAGGGAAATTAAGCTCCTTAGTGGCGTCAAGGCGCTTAAGAGCCTTAAGTGGTATTTATATGCGGCTTGGATCCCCGTCCTCTTTCCTTTAGAAAAAAATAGTCTGAGCCTTCTGGTGGTGCGGTGGGTTAAACCGCCAAGCTGCTGAATCCGGGGATCGGGGTGAGCTCCCACTGTTAGCCCCAGCTTCTGCCAACCTAGCAGTTTGAAAACATACAAATGTGAGTAGATCAATAGGTACCGCTCCGGCGGGAAGGTAATAGCGCTCCTTGCAGTCATGCTGGCCACATGACCTTGGAGGTGTCTATGGACAACGTCGGCTCTTCGGCTTAGAAATGGAGATGAGCACTAGAGTGGTACACGAATAAACTTAATATCGCTTTGATAAACTTAAATAAACTTTTAAATAAAGTTTAATAAACTTAAACCGCTCTGAGTCCCCCTCGGGGTGAGAAAATATACAATATAATGGTATAGTGCAATATAGTAATATATACTGATATTGTACTTTGCTAATAATATAATATATTGTATGAAAATATATATTGTAAGCCGCTCTGAGTCCCCTTCGGGGTGAGAAGGGCGGCATATAAGCGCCGTAAATAAATAAATAATAAATAAATAAAAGCAGTATACAAATACTGTAAATAAATAAAATACATAAATAAATATTGGGGGAAAACTTTACCTTAGCTCGTGAAAAAATATTATAAATATATATTATTACATTATTATTATTAGATATGGATATGAGCACCTCTATATATATATATATATATATATATATATATATATAAACATGAAAAAATATTATAAATATTATAAATATATATTATTACATTATTATAAATAAAAATATTATAAATATTATAAATATATATTATTACATTATTATTATTATTATTAGAAATGGAGATGAGCACCAGAGTCCCAAATCTGGACACTAATAAACTTAATATCGGGGGGAACCATTTAGGTTTCCATATATAACATAATATTATATAATAATATATATTATATATTATATAATATAATAATATATATTAATAATATATATTATATATTATATTATATTATATTATATATATTATATATTATATTATATATTATATTATATAATTTTATTATATATATATAATAAAACATGAAAAATATTATAAATATATTATTACATTATTATATTGTAATCTTATTATATTATATTACACTATTATTATTATATAAATATGTTATATTATTATTCTACTATTATATTATAAAAACACAGAAAATTATTTTAAGTACATATTATTATATGTATTTATAAATACATATTGTCAGGCCACATGACCTTAGAGGTGTCTATGGACAACGCCGGCTCTTCGGCTTAGTTAAATTAGCTTCCCCACTTAAGCGGTACCTAAATTTTCCTACTTGACAGACGCAACTGTCTTTCGGGCTGCAAAGGTCGACAGCAAGCTAGACAAATGGTCGGGAGCTTACTCCTACCCCAGGCTAGCTTCGAACTCATAACGTTTTGGTCAGGAGTGATTTTAATCCTGCTGACTTCCAACCACAATCCATCCATCTATCCACACACATACTGAGAATGAATGCTAAGCAGGGACGGCCCTGGTTAGTCCTTGGATGGGAGACCACCAATGCCTCAAATTAGACCCCGCCTTACCTTTGGAGTAAGTGCTGACCAACGTGGCAAAGTTGGAAATCAGCGTAATGGGAGAGAAGTCGGAAATGTCGGCGATTTCCAAAGTTCGGAGCAGCGAGCGGAGCCGTTCGGCACAGAATCTGCAGATTTGGTGCCACAAAAAGTTGCAAGAGTTGAACAACTACTTTCAAAGTAAGGATGTGGTTATTTGAAGACAGAATAAAGAGATTATTTACAAAAATAAGTTTTCGTCTTTAAGGTGCAAAGTTTTTCACTGAGCTGCAATGGATGCATTTGTATTCTAAGCCATGTGCTGGAAAACTAGTGTGTTTACAAACTATATAATTAGGGGAAAAATTATTAAAAATCAGTGGATTGACTGATTGCTCTGACACTTTGCAGGATTGATGCCCGGATTATGTTGTCTCAGTGTGCAAAAATGCATGGGGATAGCTCTTGTAGTTTTTTTTTTAAAAAAAAATTAATTGAAAAATACTATTTAAAATAATTAAAATAATTTTTAATTGAAAAATACTATTTAAAATTCGTAAAAATCAGTAGATAAACTGATTTTTTCTGAAACTTTGCAGGATCAATGCCCTGATTATGCTGTCTCATTGTGCAGGAATTCAAAGAGATACCTCTTTTAGATTTTTTAAAGTAATTTTTAAATGAAAAAAATCTTTTAAAAATTCCTAAAAATCAGTAGATGAACCAATATTTCTGAAACTTTGCAGGACCAATGCCCCACATATGTTGTCTCGTTGTGCAGAAATTCAAAGAGATGCCTCCTTTAGTTTTTTTGAAAAATAATTTTAATTGATTTTTTTTAAAAAACAAATCCTAAAAATCAATATATAAATTAATATTTCTGAAACTTTTCAGTATTGATGCCCTTATTATGTTGTCTCATTGTGCAGAATTTTGAAGAGATGCCTCTTTTAGTTTTTTGAAAAATAATGTTTAATTGAAAAATACATTAAAAATTCCTAAAAATCAGTATATAAAATAATGTTCCTGAAACTTTGCAGGATCGATGCCCTACATATGTTGTCTCATTGTGCAGAAATTCAAAGAGATGACTTTTTTAATTTTTTGAAAAATAATTTTTAATTGAACAAAATGTTTTAAAATTCCTAAAAATCAGTATATAAAATAATCTTCCTGAAACTTTGCAGGAACGACGCTCTGTTTAAGCTGTCTCATTGCGCAGAAATTCAAAGAGATGTCTATTTAGTTTTTTGAAAAATAATTTTAAATTGAATATTATATATATTTTTAATTTTAAAAAGTTTAAAAATTCCTAAAAATCAGTAGATGAACAAACCTTTCTGAACCTTTGCAGGATCAATGCCCTACATATGTTGTCTCATTGTGCAGAAATTCAAGGAGATACCATTTTTAGTTTTTTTGAAAAATAATTTTAATTGAATTTTTTAAAAAACAAATCCTAAAAATCAGTATATAAATTAATCTTTCTGAAACTTTGCAGGATCGTTGCTCTGTTTACGCTGTCTCATTGTGTAGAAATTCAAAGAGATGCCTCTTTTAGTTCTTTGAAAAATAATTTTTAATTGAAAAAAATGGTTTTAATTCCTAAAAATTAGCAAATGAACTAATCTTCCTGAAACTTCACAGGATCAATGCCCTGATTATGTTGTCCCATTGTGCAGAAATTCAAGGAGATACTTCTTTTAGTTTTTTGAAAAATAATTTTAATTGAAAAATATTTTTAATTCCTAAAAATCAGTGAATGAACGAATCTTTCTGAAACTTTGCAGGATTGATGGCCTACGTGTGTTTTCTCTTTGTGCAGAAATTCAAAGCGATGTCTCCTTTAGTTTTTTGAAAAATTATTTTTAATTGAATTTTTTAAAACAAAATTCTTAAAAAAATCATTAGATGAATGAATCTTTCTGAAACTTTGCAGGATTGATGGCCTACATGTGTTTTCTCTTTGTGCAGAAAATCAAAGAGATACCTCTTTTAGTTGTTTGAAAAATAATTTTTAATTGAAAAATATTTTTTAATTCCTAAAAATCAGTAAATGAACAAAGGTTTCTGAAGCTTCACAGGGTCAATGCCCCTATTATGTTGTCTCATTGTGCAGAAATTCAAAGAGATAGCTCTTTTACTTTTTGAAAAATAATTTTAATTGAATTTTAAAAAATCCTAAAAATCAGTAGATAAATGAATTTTTCTGAAACTTTGCAGGATTCATGCCCTACATATGTCGTTCATTGTACAGAAATTCAATGAGATACCTCTTTTAGTTTTTTGAAAAATAACATTAATTGATTTTTAAAATAAAAAAACCTAAAAACCAGTAGATGTATGATTTTTTCTGAACCTTTGCAGGACTGATACCCTGATTATCCTGTCTCATTGTGCAAAAATTTAAAGAGATGCCTTTTTAAAGGGTTTTTTTTTAAATTGAAAATATGTTTTAAAAATCCTAAAAATCAATAGATGTATGAATTTTTCTGAAACTTTGCAAGACCGATGCCCTGATTATTCTGTCTCATTGTGCAGAAATTCAAAGAGATACCTCTTTTAGTTTTTTTGAAAAATAATTTTTAATTGAATTTTTTAAAACAAAATTCCTAAAAATCATTAGATGAACGAATCTTTCTGAAACTTTGCAGGACTGATTCCCTCTTTGTGCTTTATCATTGTGCAGAAATCCAAGGTGATACCTCTTGGGAAATATTTTTCAAAAATATATTTGTTATTTGTTAAAAAAAAAT